AAAAAAAAAGGAAAGAAAGAGCCCCAAAACAGATACACACTTATATGGCCATTTGATCATGACAAAGCTGAAAGAAGAACAACCATTTCAATAAGTGATGTTAGTTTAATTATGAGTATGGCTATCTTAAGTGCAAGGAGAAATCCATTTTAGACAATGTATAAATCTAACTTTGAAAAGTAAAGCAATAAAAATTTCAGGAAACACCATAGGAAACTTTTCTTCATGACCTCAGGGTAGACAAAGATTTCTTAAAGAGGACACAAATTATATTAACCATACTATGTTAAAATTAAGAAACCATCTTTATCAAAAGACAGAAACAGAATAAAAATGCAACATACGGAGTGGGAGAAGATATTCAGAACACATATATACGACAAAGAACTCCTATCTGTAGCACAGAAAGAAATCCCTAATGTAAAAAGAAATTATCCCATTTATCCCTGGCATAGGAAGAAATTCTATAACTTAATGAGAAAATGGGGGGGGTAGGGCATCTTGATAGCAAAACTAACAGCAAACATTTCGATAAAAACTATGAAAGTCAGAATATACTGAGCAAAAAATCTAAACATGCAATTCACAAATAAAATCAAAATGGAATGACATTTTAAAGAACTATAAAAAGCCACCAGAAAATAATCTTCTAAAATAAATATATTTTCCAAATAAAGGTTTAAAAAACTGGTAGCACACACAGACTAGAAGAAATATTATAATAGTTCTTCAACCTGAAGGAAAACGGAAGCATAAAACTGCAGAAAGAAACAAAGAAAACTGAAAAGAAAATTTAAGGAAACTACAGTAATATCTTTTGACATCTATGACACACACATAAAAGTAGAGTATTACACAAAACTAGCCAAAAGCACAGGATAGGGGTAAATGAAGTGAAACTGTTTCAGGATTCTTACATTGCCTGTGATGTGGTAAAGGACTAATTTAAGACAGACAAAAGTGAGTTAAGAATGCATATTGCAATACCCAGAGTAAAAAATACAAAATGGTAAACTAAAAAACTGCTAGACATAAATAAAAAATAATAAAATGCCTGTCAAAAGAATGGATAAATAAATTATAATATTTTCATGCAGTGGAATACTATGTAGCAACATAATAAGTGAACTACTGGTACACATAGCACTATGAATAAATCTAACACATATTGAAACAAATAAGCCTGATGCAATAGTGTACACAATGATACCACACATCTGAGTTACAATAACAGGCAATATTAACCAATAATGATAGAAGACTGCCCACCTTAGGAGAATGGAGGTTGTTGTCAAAGATTGGAAAAGTCACGAAGGAAGCTTAAGGGTTAGTAAAAACATTCAATATCTTGATCTGGGTTTGTGGTTCCTAGGTTGTACACACATGTTTTAAAAAAAGAACAGTACACAGTTATGATGAGTGCACCTTATGATGATATGTACAATATCATGATATTGTACCTCAAGCAGAAAAAAAAATGAATCCAAAAAAGGAAGAAAATAGAATACATGAAATAATGAATGAATACATGCGACCAACAATCATTAGCTACTGGTAAATCCACAACTAGCAGCTCCAAGGGTTTGCAAGAGGATAGCTTACGGCTTCTGGGGGGAAAAAGGAGGTTTGGAAATGGGTCATTTTCTTAAGATGAACACATAAATAAAATCATTACATCCATTGATGCAGCTACATACCATGAGTATCAAGGCTGAGATATTTAAGATAGTCCTTAAATATCTGAAGTGGAAAGCACACTAATTTACAACAAAAGAAGTTTATAAAGCGATAAGTTGAAGCAATATGATAAAATTAGCAACATAATGCAAAGATCTTTGCGAGTCATTTTCAACAGCAGTAGGTGCCTAATGACTGAGGAAACCTTCAAATATCCTTTATAGCAAGCAATTTTCACATTCAAGTACCAGTTTG